ATCCACCGAACTTATGTTGACACAGGGAGTTCTGTCAACGTCATGTATCTCAGCACTTTCCAGGAGTTGGGACTCGACAGGGGGTCCCTTCGGCACATCAACACCCCTCTCTCCGGATTCACCGGGGATAGCATTGACGCCGAGGGCGTCATCACTCTCATGGTTGAATTCGGCGACGGATCCCATAGGGCCAAGCTCGAAGTGGAATTCGTCGTCGTCAACCTCGACTGCGCACACAACATCATCCTCGGCCGGCCTGCCCTCGAGGATTTGGAGGCCATCATCTCTATGAGGCATCTCTGCCTCAAGTTCCCCACGCCCACCGGTATCGGTTACTCGAGGGGGAATCAGAAGCTCTCCAGGGCCTGCTACCTTCAGCTTACCAAGAAGGTTAGTAAAACAGAGTTACGTGTAGACACCATCACCACCAAGGCCTTGGAGGAGGAAGAAGGTAGGCCGAGGGCTGAGCCTGCCGAGGAGACTGAAGACCTGATACTCAATCCGGCCAAGCCGGAGAGAGTCCTGAAGATCGGAGCCAAGCTCCCCGAAGACCTGAAGGCTGGCATCACCGAAGCCCTCCGCGCCTACTCCGTTGTTTTTGCATGGGGGCCGGAGGACATGCCAGGAATTGACCGAAGGGTTATCACCCACCGCCTTGCGGTGGACCCTTCGGCCAAACCGGTACAGCAACGAAGGAGGCCCCTCTCGGCCGAGAGAAGGGAATTCGTGAAGAAGGAAGTATCCATGCTCCTCTCCATCAAACACATCAAGGAGGTGAAATACCCTTCTTGGTTGGCAAACGTAGTCCTCGCACAAAAGCCTCCTACCTTCCGCATGTGCGTGGACTATACGGATCTAAATAAGGCATGTCCCATGGACCCCTTCCCTCTGCCCAACATTGATCAACTAGTGGATGAGACCGCGGGATGCGAGGTCATGTCATTCCTCGACGCATTCCGCGGATATCACCAAATCTACATGCACGAGGAAGACGCTGAAAAAACTGCCTTCATGACACCCGAAGGCATCTTCTGCTATCTTGTGATGGCCTTCGGCCTCAAAAATTCAGGCGCCACCTACACACGCATGGTGGCTAGGGTCTTCCAAGCTGTCTTAGGACGCACTATGGAGGCTTACGTTGACGACATGATCGTCAAAAGCAAGAAGGCAGGCACCCACGCCAACGACCTCCGGGAGATTTTTGCCATCATGCGAAAATTCAACCTCCGGCTAAATCCAAAGAAATGCACCTTCGGCGTACAGGGAGGAAAGTTCTTAGGCTACATGGTCAGCCGAAGGGGTATTGAGGCCAACCCCGAGAAAATTCAGGCCATCATCAACATGGAGCCCCCACGCAACGTCAAAGAAGTCCAACGGTTGACGGGTCGCCTGGCAGCCCTCAACCGTTTCCTCTCAAAGTCAGCCGAGAGGGCTCTCCCCTTCTTCCAAATCATGAGGAAGACGGCAGGTTTTCAATGGACATCTGAATGTCAGGAGGCCTTCGATGAACTCAAGAAGTACCTCTCTTCCCCCCCAGTGCTCTCCAAACCTAAGGTGGGGGAAACTTTGTACTTATATCTCGGTGTTAGCCCTGCGGCTATCAGCTCAGTGCTGATCCGAGAGGAAGACGGCATCCAACATGCCATCTTCTACGTCAGCAAAACCCTCCGGGAAGCCGAACTCAGGTATTCTCCCGTCGAGAAGACGGTGCTAGCCATCGTTTGGACCGTCAAGAAGCTTGGCCACTACTTTCAGGCTCATCCAGTCCAGGTGCTCACTCATCAACCCCTCGGCGCCCTCATGAGGAGTCCCACTAGCTCCTCCCGGATGGTAAAATGGGCCATCTTCCTCAGCCAATACAACATAGACATCCGTCCGAGGCCTGCCATTAAGGGCCAAGCCCTGGCAGACTTCGTAACGGAATGCACCGCAAGATCAGCGGTGGATGAGGAGCCTTCGGCACCCCTAGACGAATGGTGGACCCTCTATACCGACGGCTCCTCGGCTACCAAAGCATGCGGAGGGGGAGTGGTTCTCATTACGCCCGAGGGTTTCCGCGCCTATTATGCAATCCGCTTCTCCTTCAAAGTCTCCAACAACGAGGCCGAGTACGAAGCCCTCCTATGTGGCCTTCGGCTGGCAGCAAATCTGAGGGCCAAGATGATCCACGTCAAGTGTGACTCCAAGCTTGTCGTGGGGCAAATTTCCGGGGAGTACGAGGCCAAGGAAGGAAGGATGAGGCAATACAAGGAGGCTGCCAAGGAGTTGCTTAAGGTATTTGAGGCACATTCCCTCACCCAAATACCGAGGGCTCAAAACTCTGAGGCCGACATTCTGTCCAAGCTCTCGGATGAATCCCCCGAGCACCTCTCAAAAATTGCAAGAATCGAGGAGCTCAGCCTCTCAAGCATCCACGCAAGCCCCATTATGAATATTAACCTAAGGTCGGAGGATTGGATCTCCGACATCATCACCTTCATCACCACAGGGCAATTGCCCCAAGACGAAGCCCGCGCCAGGTTAGCAAAGCTGAGGGCTCCCAGCTACGCCATCGAAAACGGGAGGCTTTACAAGAGATCCTACAACGGCACCCTCCTTCGGTGCCTTCATCAAGATGAGGCCGAAGTCGCCATGGAGGAAGTACACAGCGGCACCTGCTCAGCTCACCAGGGACCCTTCTCCATGTCACGAAGACTCATAGTTCAGGGCTACTTCTGGCCCACGATGGCTAGAGATTGTGCTGATCTAGCCCGAAGGTGCACCGCTTGCCAACACTTTCAGAAGGCCCCCGGCAGACCAGCGGTCAACTATGCTCCCATCAGCACCGCTATACCCTTCTCCAGATGGGGGATCGACTTAGTAGGCCCTCTGCCGAGGGGTACCTCCAACAACCGGTATATCATTGTGGCCATTGACTACTTCACCAAATGGGTAGAGGCCGAACCCCTCGCCAGCATCACGGAGGCCCGGTGCCGTCACTTCGTCCTCAAGAACATTCTCACAAGATTTGGCGTCCCCCAACAAATCATCTCCGACAACGGGACTCAATTCGAGGCAGCCCCCTTCTGTGCCCTCCTTGAAGCTTGGGGCATCAAGCACACATTCTCTTCCGTTGCCTATCCTCAGGGCAACGGGCAGGTAGAGAACGCTAACCGCACCCTCCTAGAGGGGTTGAAGAAGAAGCTGGAAGCCGAAGGGGGAGGCTGGGTAGAAGAGCTTCATAACATCTTATGGGCCTACCGCACCACCCCTCGGCGTGCAACAGGCGAAACACCCTTCTCCCTATGCTATGGCTTCGAGGCTAAGGCTCCCACAGAAGTGACTCTTCCCACCCGAAGGGTTGAGCAATATGAGCCCGAGGCAAACGAAGCCAACATGGCCCTCGACCTTCATCTCATCTCAGAACGCCGAGAGCAAGCCTTCATCAGGGCTGAAAACTATAGGAGACAAGTCAAAGGATACATCGACGCCAAGGTCCGCTCCCGGGAATTCCAGGTGGGAGATTACGTCCTCCGACGAAGGGAGGCCAGTCTACCCACCGAAGGAGGGAAGATGGCGCCCAAGTTTGAGGGCCCCTACATCATCTCGGCCATCATCAAACCAGGGACATACAAGTTAAAACGTCCTAATGGGACAGAGATTCCTAGACATTGGAATGTGCACCACCTAGTGAAATTTTATCAATGAGTGGCCAAGCCCTCATCCTCAACGAGTGTAAATGTTCAATGGCCCAAGGCCCCGTCTGTTCTTGAAGAATAATCAAAAGGCCAAGCCTTCATCACCTACATATTGTACAAGCGGCCCAAGGCCCCCTTTTCTCCTACACATGAGTGGCCAAGCCCTCATCTCTTCACCATAAAAGGCCCAAGGCCACTCCCTCTTATGAGGGGGAACAACAGTTTAGGTACCAAGTACCAAGTGTATGGGTCACCCCCATCACTCTTTGAAGACACCAAGTGTTTTCAAAAACTTTTTCCTACAAAAAAAAAAAAAAAAAAAAAAAAAAAAAAAAAAAAAAAAACGGGGGGTACAACACCCCTCGGCTCCGGCTGGTACCAAGTGCCCCCGGCTATTTGTGTTCCACACACGAATAAAACCCTTCCCAGGAACGCTTTCCGCGCCGTCCCCCAAGGGGAGGCAGGCCACGGACCATGTCCCGGGCCCAGGATTCGACTTCCACAAACGAAACGCTCCCCGCGCTATCCCCCAAGGGGAAGCAGGCAACAGACCATGTCTCGGGCTGAGGGGACGACTTTCAAAACCGAGGCGCTTTCCGTGCTATCCCCCAAGGGGAAGCAGGCAACAGACGATGTCTCGGGCCGAGGAAACGACCCTCAAACCCTTCGGGATATCGGAAGGTCATTCCCGAAGGGGGAGCCAACGGTTTATTCCGTTGCCTCCCATATAGGCCAAGCCTTTCCTAGAAACCAAGTTTCTAGACGCCTCTCCTACACGATCTAAAAAAAAAAAAAAAAAGGTGTAGGAGGGAAGGAACTCCCCGGATACTATTCTCCCCGGAGGCTCAACACTTCGGATATACATTCCCGAAGGCTCCTACAGATTCACAAGAAAATCTGGCAAACAACAAGTCATCCGACCACAAGGCCGAAGGCTTCACTGCGTAAAACTTTGGAGTACAGGAACTCCACCAAAGGCATAAGAAGAGGGCTTACTATCAAAGCTTCACCTAAATTTGGCTCGAATCAAAGACGACACGTTACATACCGAAGGATACACAAAATTCTAAGGCAAGCCGAATCTATTATCTACACGAACCGGAGGCTACTCACTAGATCTGTTGAAGACAAAGTCTCACAATTTCACTAAGTCCATAATTTCGAACCCCTCGGCAAACATATGCACCGGGGGCTCAGGCAGTTCCCACACCCGAAGGATTCGTTACAACACCAGTTGAAAGTTGGTGAGAAAATGACTAAGTCCACAAATGTGGACCCTTCGGTAGGGCTATTCTTCACCTACAGACTCATGGCCGACGGCCCCCGGCCGAGAGTCACGCTACTATAATGAGGGCCTGCAATGCAACTAGTTTTTACTTAGAATATTTTCTAAGTCCACAATGATGAGCCCCGGCGAATCTACAGTGCAGCCGAAGGCTGTGGCCAGGTTCTACTTAGAAAATATTCTAAGTCCACAAAGTTTTGCCCTCTGCCAAACATACGGAAGGAAACAAAAGCATACATTCATACACGGAGGCAGCAAATTGAAACACAAGCGCAAAAAGGACGAAAGGCATTCATTCATAAGGAAAAGGAACGAAGGCAGACAAAACATGGAGGCACATTCATTCATATAAGAAGCCCGGAGGCATATTGCATTCATTAAAAAAAAAACAGTGTTAACAAAGGATGTTTGTTTACAAATAAGGCCGAGGCCGAGGCCTACAACTATTACATCAAAATATGGCAAGTAAAATCTCAAGCCTGGCCCCCCCCGGTGACGTCATCCTTCAGTTTCGAGGCTGCATCATCCTCAGCTTCTTCCTCATCATCCGAGGCCAGCTTGTCCATCTCTGAGTCCTCGAGCAAAGGCCTCTCCTCGCCTTCGGGCATGGGGGTTTGGAGGTCAGGAAGCAGAGGGGGAAGACCAAACGGGGCCGGGTCGAACTCTTTCGGGTCCACCCCATGGTGCCGGGCCAACTTGCGATAAATCAGGGCTTGAGTGAAGTACTGTCCGCCTTCGAAGAAACTTTTGCCTTTCAGCGCCAACCACATGGCCCCGGACCCCTTCACCCAGCCATCGGCAGAAGCCTCCACCACTGAGGCCACCCACTGCTTCTGCTCTTCGGCCTTCCAGCCGTCGGCAATAAAAGCCGCCACCGCCTCCTCCCTGGCCTTAGAGATAGCTTCCGCTTTAGCCTCCTCAGCCTTCTCGGCGGCTATCCTAGCGGACTCAGCAGCGGCCCTCTCGGCTTCAGCTTTCCCCTCGGCCCGGGCTTCCTCCTTGGCTGCCTCCAGTTTCTTCTCCGCCTGCCGGAGGGCCTCCTCCAAATTCGCCAGCTGCCGAATGGCCTCAGTATTGTTGGCCACCAGCTTCCTCGTCACCTCGGCGGATTTAGCCCTCTCAAGGCGATGCTGCTCCGCCCTACGAACCAGTTCCCCGAAGGCCAGGCTCGCCTGCAAACATATAAGGAGGCACTCAATATCAGATTGTTCAAAGGAAAGAAAAGAAAAGAGGGATTAAGGGCGCAAAAAATCTAAACACTTACGGTGGCCGAAGCTTGGAGAGCCTTGAGTTCGAGGGCTTCATCCCCAAACCGGCTGAGGGTGGACCGATCTACCGAGGGAGTGGCACCCTTCAAGAACTCCCTCGGGTCGAGGGTGCCATGCATGATGGCTGTTCCCTTTTTGATTGGGAAGTGTACAGTCTCAAGGGGCCAGGCCCCCTCGACAAGATCCTCCAGGGGAGCAGAGGCTGACGGTTGGCCGGCGGGGGGATCGTCAATGATCACCAGGGGGGTATCCTTTGGCTCAGTGTCCCCCTTCGATTTCTTCCTTTCCGGAGGCTTGACGCCCTTCCCGGCGTTTTTCCGCTTGAGCTCCCCCTCCTTGGAGCCTCCGGCATCAGTACCGGCACCAGCGATTGCAGTCCCCTTCGGGGGGCCTTGGCCCTCAGGGGTCTCCTGCTTCTTCAAAAGGGCGTCCACCTGCGGTTGCGTCGGAGGCCTCTCCTCCTTCTTCTTCTTATCCTTGGCCAGTTGCCGGGACAGCTTAGAGAAAGCTTTCGGATCCATGAAATCGCCTGCAAAAGAACAAGGAGGAGTTAGAATCAAAAGCAAATCAAAGATTTACGTCTCTAAGCACTAAACAACAAGGGCCCTCGGCAACCACCTCTGATACCCGGAGAGCCCCGGTCAAGGAGAGGATATCTCTCATCCTTCTCCCCCAGCAAGCGATACCGCTGAAATTCTAATTTGAGCAGCTCCTCCGGAAGCGTGGCGGCCTTGATAGTCGTCAGCTTTTCTGAACCAGGCGGCTTCGCCTTCAGCTTTCTCCCATTGGCCTCAAGGGCAGCGTTGCCCACCTTAGGGTGTCTCTGAAAATGGTTGCGAAGAGGCCTCGGGAAGGTCACTCCCGGCATCCTGAGGTAACAGAAACGGTCCCTCCATCCCTTGTGAGACGAAGGCACCTCCGAGAAAAGCCTCCACGCCGGCACTTGTTGGAGGTTGGCGAAGCCCTCGCTATTGGCAGCACCCCCTCGACACAGGTTGAAGGATAGAAAAAATTGATCCAATGTGGGGACAACCCCTCGGCTTCGACATTGCGAGAGAAACCCTGTGATGTACGAATGACTATTCGGGGTCAGTTGGCAAGGAGCGAGACCCACGAACCGAAGGTATTCCACCAGAAAAGGGTGGAGCGGGAATCGGAGACCCAACTCCACCGAAAGGATGTGCACCGCGTAACAGCCCTCTGGAGGATGCAATAACACATCGTCAGGCCCCGGAACCACCACCTGTGCCGACGGACCGACCAACAGTTGAATTTTGAGATACTCCGCCTCCCCGGCCTTCGTTTTCAATTCGAGGGCGGCGGTGTTGAGATACGAGTGGCCCTCGGGTATTCCCACCGGCTGACCTGCGTCGATAGCAGCCTGCTTCTTCTTCGTGGCCGCCTGGGTCTTCTTCTTCTTTTTCCCGGGAGCGACGCTTATCGGTTCCGGATCTAGGGGCCGGGAGCTACTGGCTTCGCCGGCGCCACGAAGGGGGAGTGCGGCGACGGTCACCCTCTGCCGCTCTTTCTCCTCCTCTTCCTCGGCGACTTGGAGCGCGAGGGCAAGCTCTTCGTCTTCCGCCACCTGCTCGAAGTCCTCCGCCTCCAGCTCAGTCCGAAGGGTGTCTTGGACTTCCTCGGCGATGGCAGCGTCATTGTTGACCGACGAGTGGTCACTTGAGGACTCAACCTCGGAATAGCTCTCCGATTGAACCGGGGCCTCCACGGAAATATCTTGGGAATCGCTGGCCGAAGACATCTTCTCGAGAACAGGGAAAAGGGGGAATATAAGAGAACTAACTGGAGGCTCCTAAGTATTCCCTAACACTAGATTTAAGGCCAGTGAAGCGAAATACGCTAAGTGTGTGGGAAAGGAGGAAGAACTGACCTCAAAGATTGCGTTTGATCGAAGGCTGAAGTTTCTCTCTCTAGAAAAAATGGCAGAGCTCCGCTATCTCTCTAAGTTCGCACAAGAACAAATGAGCTCAGGCTCAGGGTATTTATAGGCAGTGGGCCTCGAGAACTGGGCCTCGATTTGAAAAGCCCATCATTACGGGCCGCCGCCTCAGCCAATGAATGACAGCCGCCCACCCCCAACCAACAAGGGCACGCCACGTCAACCCCTCCTCCAACGGCTATATTACAACGACTATATTCCGGCACCACTGAAGTGCCTTCGAATGATAGCCTCCGGCTATCACCCGCCACACCCTACGGACAAATAATTCCACCAAACGCCTTCGAGCCCGTAGCAGTATAAGCCTTCGGCTTGTCAATGTTATCACCCCTCGGGGGATCATCAACTCATCATAACTCCTTCAGCCCGAACTTGCCTTCGGCCTAAAGGAGTGGGAGACTGGGATACACCCCTCGGGGATCATACACAACCAAAAATTCTTCATGCAACAATTTACAATTGACGCATACGGCCTCCGGGAAAACATCACAATACATGCAGACAAGACATCTATGCTTTCCTCAGAAAACCCTCGACGTGTGAGGGACTGAGGGGGAGCCCCCGGCGAACATACGAAGGTTACGAGTACCTTCCCTCAGAAAACCCTCGACATGTGGGGGACTGAGGGAAGCCTTCGGCAATCAACAGAAGACAAGTTCTCAAACAAAGGCACCCAGACAGGCGATGAAGCCCCCGGAAGAATCATCACATCTACTCCTTTTCCCTCAAGTACCTTTCGGCAAAAGGAGTGAGGGACTCCTGATGGAGTATATGGCCCAGGAACCCCCGGCCCAAAGACTCCTACTAATCTATCACAAGCCCAACAAGCTCAAGGAGCTCAGGAGGCCCAAGATTCGGCGGCCCAAGCGTCAAGAAGGCCACGGTACACACAGGGATGCCTTCGGCCACCTTGGCCGAAGGCTCCAGAACTCACAGAACCGCCATATTCGACCATGCGAAGCTACTGGGAGAAATTGACAGAAAACGGGAGCCCTCGGCACTATGGAGCCCTCGGCACCAGGGGAATCCCTCGGCTCAGCCAAGCCTTCGGCTACACAAGGAGCCCTCGGCTACGCAAGAAGCCTACGGCTGAACTAGCTCAATCATCGAAGATTCCTTTTAGAGACAGCCAACCACCGCATTTAATGCCACGTCGCATCCGCCAACCGCATTCAATGCGGTTGACGTACCACTGCCGGTGCCACTAGGCTGATGTGACCCTTCGGCCGTTGGATTACTGACACGTGTCCTCTCATCGCATTTATTGCTGCTATAAATAGCAGCCCATTCCTCCTTGTAATCGGCACAACCTACATCCCAACACACGCTGAGTTCATTTAATAAAATCGACTCTCTCTCCTCCTATTCGCTCTGACTTCTCTCTAGTTATTTCCGCAATAACCCTTCGGATAAGAGACCCCCCGGGTAGACTATCCATCAGTCAGAACTACTTAGACTTCATACTACTCGGAGGGCTTGGAATCCCTTTAGGGGGTGTGCACACTTAAGGTAGAAGTCTAGATTCTAATAGAGGAGATGAGGTACCGAGAGCAGATCGGAGTGACCGTACAAAACAACGGATCACTGGGCTCAAGAATCGAATAACGCTTGAGCACCGCCCTTCTAAATGAATTAGGAGAATTAGCTATAAAGCTATTTTGAGGTAAATCAAACGTTTTTTGGTATTTTACTCTTAAAGAGTTGGTTTAAAGAGTTGACTAAATACTTAATCATTTTATTAATTGTGAATTTCTAAAGTACAAATACTTGTGATATTGGTTTGGAAAATATATTTGTGGATATTGATTATGTGTTTTGTAAGGATTGTGATAAAGTGCTTAAGTGAGTTTTGAGATGGATATTTGAAGTTGTGTATATGATATATGCTTTGGAATATTTATGAGAATTTTTATTACATTTCTAATGTTGCAATTATTATGATTTGGAATATTATTATCTTACATATGAATTATGTTATGAGAATTTATTATAAATATTGTTTTACTTATGATTGGCATGAATGTTTTGAAAAGATTTTCCTCCCAAATGTTTTGCAAAAATTATATATATGTATCAAACGTGATTATTTTACGGGGTTGGGTGGGACTTACTTAGCATTTCCAGCTAATTTTTGTTTCTTTGTTTTTTCTTTCTTTTCCTGTACTTTATTTGTGCAGGAGATAAAGCTTGAGTATCTAGATGATGATGATGTTGATTCGAGAGAGCTTCCGCTAGAGAAAATGTAATTAGTAGATAACATTGTAGTTTAAATTAAATTTTTAAGACGTTTATTGGGTTTAATTGTTTCTGCGGTGATTAGCCTGTGCACTCAGTTAGGTTAGAGCCGAGTGTGGCGGTAACGCCCCTATTTCCCTTTTGATTTTTCCGCTGCATAACTCTGATGTTTTAAAATAAAATTGATATTTCTTTTGGATAAAGTATTATTTTTGGGCGGGAAATTTGGGGGTGTTACAGTTCCGCCTCGCGCCGATCGTCGCGGTGCCACGATCGTGATCTCGGATTCGGCTGCCTTGGGCTATTCTTCTTTAGTAGCTGGGTGAACTCGCCCAGGTAGCCTTGTCGGATCAGCTCGTCGATGGCCATCCTCAGCTGTTTGCAGTTGTCGGTGAGGTGGCCGACCCTCTGGTGGTATTCGCAGTATGCGGTCTCATCAAGGCCCATAAGCGCCTTCTTGTCTTGGGGATCCCTTAGGATGCCCTTGTCTTTGATGGCATCGAAGATTTGGCCCACGGGGTAAGCCAAGGGGACGTGGTACTCCTCCGGTCGTACGCGGCTTGCCTAGGGGTGGGCCTTCCACGGAATCATACCGCCGTCCGTCTTCTTCTTTTTGTTCGGGGGGGATGGTCCGCCTCCGGGGCCGAGCCTATCCGCCAACTTCCGGGAAGGAGCTGCGGGCGCGGCGTCCCTCAGCCTGATCTCCTCCTCAATGGAGGCATATTTTTGTGCCCGAGCCAGCATTTCGGTGTAGCTGGTGCTGGGGTTCCTCCGAAGGTCCCGGTATAGGTCCCCTGTTGCTAAAGCGCTGGTGAACATGTTCACTCCCAGCCGCTCGTCCAGGTCGTCTACCTGCTTCACACTTGTGAGCGATGTGAAGCTCTTCTTGGGGGTGGTGCTGGCTGCGAACTGTGCCATGAACTGCTGGGACAGCTGTTTGTAGTTATCAATAGATCCGGGCCTCAACTGCCCGAACCACTCCTGCGCTGGGCCCCTCAGGGTGCTAAAGAAAAGC